CTCTGGCAAAGCCTCAGAAGCGCGGGAACCCGCCCGGTGCCCCTGGTCTGCTGGAGACGGTCTCCAGCAGACCAGGGGCACCGGAGCAGCTTACGGGGCGAGAAAGCCCCGTTCGTAAGTGCGGATCCGACATAAGTCGGATCCGCGTAAGTCGGGGACTGCCTGTAATTGTAGTCTATACCTACAAATTCTGTGAGCATAAGCAAAATATGCTATTCCAGCAAAAACACTTTTATACTGAAATAGCTACACGTCTACTAGCACCAGGTCAACACTGTAAAGTTTTCTGATATAGCTACACTGGCAACCCCTTCTAGCACAGGCATCTTACACTGGCAAAGGCAGGTGTTTTTGCCACTATATTTTATACTAGTTCCTTGACCAAATAAGCTATACCAGCAAAAGCACTATTTTTGTTTTACTTCATGTCAATCAGTGCTCTGGGATGAGGGGTTCAGTATGCAGGCTGCCATGGTAAGAGAGGACTATTCCAGCCCTCTCTCAATGCAGCAGCTTGAGGCCAGGTGAGAAGCACCTCTCTCTGGCAGCTGAAGCTCCAGAAGGCACAACTGGGGTAGAGGTGAATGTCCCCCATCTTGGGCACGTGAAGGCTCATCTGCCTCTGTACTCCCCAGCCACAATGAAAAATGCAGCAAACTGTGTACTTTCCTCTGGCTCCCTGATGAAGGGGAGCTTCAACCCGGCCCCCCCATCCCTCTAAAAAGGTGTCTGGGGGATGGGAGGCTTGGGGCTAGGGCAGTCCCAAATGGGATGGGTACATCCCAAGTCAACCCCTTTCACCTGGCTGGTGATTGTCTCTTTTCTGTATGGTTTTATGAGAAGCAGAATCTCATTCCAGAAACAACCAGACCCTTACCTTGCTTTAAGTTATGGTAAGAGAAAGCTGCATATCGAATTTGGTGGTCCTAGGTCTGACGGTTTAGGAAGAGTTCTTGAGCAGACAGAGATGAACAGACAAACAAACTCTCTCAAATATGTAGTAGATAACTGCATCTATATGTACATATTTGCCAGTAGAGAAATGTTGCAAAGAAACCAAACCTCTCATCAATTAACTAAAAAAGCAACTGTTTCTTGCGTGATCTGGCCTAAATCTGATTCTTTATAACTGTAGAGCCATATGGTTTTGTCCAGGCATTCCATTTAAATTAACAGACCCTAAGACCTTGGATCACTACATATACATGTGATTAGGATGGCTTCACTGAAATTATTTAGGCTGGAGAACTTGGACCTAGAGGTGGTAACTCTGGTTCTCCCTACCTGTTTATTAGCTCTGAACAGTGTCACATCAAAGAGGATCTCTTCTTTAGACTGTTCCATGTGGTTTGGCTGGGCTCTCCATCTCTTGACTCGCTCAATCCCATAGCTGAGGTTGGCTCTAACAAAAAGATATTCACTTACTGGAACAACATGCTAATTAAAGACAACTGCAAGGCTTAAATTCTTGTCCACATCCAAACATCTAAGTATGGGTCTATGACTTACCAAGAATATGAAAGTATGGAGATTAGTCTTATTAACACTAGGCCCAGCCTTCAAACCCATACATCTTGTTTCTAATAGTTTTGTTACTGTCAATGGGCCAATCCATAAGATTGAGCCCTGGGTTATTTTTGTAACTGTGCTGTGTCATCGCTATACAAAACTTCCTTTTCTAACCTGGTTTTAATTTTTGGAGCTGTAAACCTTCTGATCATAAATAACATGTAAATATAATAAAGTAAATTTAGACAAATATGCAAATAAGATTGTGATACTTCATGAAGGTAATACATAATACATTCTGAAATATAGGGAGATAGTAACTAAATGCAACACATCCATATTCTATGGCAGGGCTGGGAAATAATTTTTCATGGGGGGCCATTCCAAGATTCTGGTAAGTGGTCAAGGGCCACACTTTTCTATAGAGGGTGTGTAGGGTTTAGGATAGAGGTGAGGTGCAGACGGGAGCTTGAGAGGGTGTGTGGTCTCAGAGAGAGTTTGGAGGAGGGTTGTGAACTGGGGCAGGAGATTAGGGTGCTGGGTCCAGGAGGGGGTATAGGTTCAGGAGAGGATTCTACACTGGGGGAAGGATATAGGAGTGGCTGCAGGGTCTGGGAGGGAGTTGTGACCTGGGGTGGGGGAAGGAGGGTACAGAGGGTTTGGCTGGTAACCTGGGGCAGGGGACTAGGATCCAGGGTCTGGGAAGGGGTATGGGTTCAGGAAAGGATTCTGAACAGGGGAGCAGTGTAGGAGAGAGTGCAGGAGCTGGGAGGGAGTTGGGATGTTCGAGGGGGTAGGGTGCAAGAGAGAGGCCCTGGCCAGGAGACACGTACCTAAACAGCTCCCAGCTAGCAGAACTCTCAGGCAGGCTTCCCTGCCTGCCAGCAACCCCAGACTTCTCTGTTCTATGTCGCTCTCTGCACTACAAGAGGCATAGGAGAGGCTTTGCACATTTCCCCTGACCTCAGAAAAATCCCTCAGCTCACATTGTCAGTTTCTGGCCAATAGGAGCTGAGAGATTTTGCTGGGGGCATGGGGCAGTGCACAAAGTCTCCCTCTCGCTGCAGTGCAGAGAGATTCAGGGAGCAGCCAGCAGCTTTGAGCAATACTGCTCCATGCTGCAGGGGCTGATTGACCATATTACAAGGCTCGGTGGGCCAGTTCCAGTCCACATGCTGGATCTTGTCCACCCCTGTTCTATAGAGTCACTCACATAATTTGCATTTACTTACTCCAAAGTTAACCCAAAATGTCAGGCTATAATTATATAAGATGTATTTATAACTGAAACAGAAAATTTTGAGTACTAAATACAAGGTGCTCAGAGACCATAGCAATGGATATGATATATAAATAATCCTAAATAGACTAGAACATAATGAATTACAAATATTCATTACTCACAGAAGATGGTGCTCTCTGTAAAGTAAGCAAAGTATGACAATGCTTTTAGCAATTTTCTGAAATCTGAACAGAAGATTTGGCTGAAAGAAGAAAGTGGCCAGTTACTCGTTACCTGTTCAGTGAATGTTAGTTACACAAATATCAATGTTAGTTACACAAATATCATTAAAAAAAAAACTTAGTGCTGAAGAATACTTTTCATACTTGAAGTCACTTATAAAAATCATTCAGATAAAGGATTCATGTTTCCATAAAAGTGTTCATTTTTTTTCTGTTATACCGTAGTTGAAGTGTCAGAATTGCAGGTCTTCAAAACTGTATGCCTCACTGTCTCTTTAATAGGAATCTAGAAATTACCATCCCAGAACAGCCACAAGATCCCACAGCAGGCCTAACAGCCTGTTTCTGACCTATATCAGATGCTTGAGCAAAAACTTTTATAATGCATGTAGCCAGGCAATACTATCCGTGAGAAAAAATTCTTCTTTATACCAGTCCTTTAATCAGTTTAGCCCCTGAAGTATGAGGACTGATTGCCCTGGAAATGTTATTCTAGTTTGTAAATCCTTTACTCTGTTTGGGACAAATCTGCATCCCTAAAGGCATGAAAGGTCATAAACACCATCATGGTTATACTGCACAAAGGAATGGGGAATTGGCAAGGACACAAAGAGACTGTGCAGGGAGGTTCAGCACTATTCTGTGTCCGTTTTCTGCAAAGCAGTGCAGCAGGGCACTTTAAGTGGCCAATAACTGCTTAACTACCTTGATCCAAAGATCAAGCACTTCAGCAGGGGTAGACAGGAGCAGCTGCTACCACAGCCTCGGTTGAATAAAACTTTGAAATATCTTATTAAAAAGCACTAAAAAATAATTGATTAAGGACTAGATCCTGACCTCATTATTTACTACTAATTTACAAAGAAATAGGATGTGGGATTCTTGAGTCCTTCTCCCTCTCTCTGCTGCTTATTCTTTACCCTTTGACATTCTAATTGGGTCTACAGATCCCAAATGAAATATCATAAAGGAGAAAAAAATGGCCAGATTTTTCTTCCATACACAAGGGCTTTGTCTAGATTGCATCCCTTTTTCGTAAAAGGGATGCAAATTAGACATATTGCAATTGCAAATGAAGCAGGGATTTAAATCCCCCCTGCTTCATTAGCATAAAAATGGCTGCCACTTTTTTTCAGCACAGAGCTTTGCCAGAAAAAAGCGCCAGTCTAGACGCGGATCTTTCGGAAAATAAAGCCTTTTCCGAAAGATCCCTTATCCCAGAGGGATAGACACAGCCAAAGAATGTTGACTTTAATGGAGCCAGTCACATTAGTGTGAGATCACAATCAGTTCTACCTTGAGTGAGGAATGAGTGGCAGCAGCAGATGATTGGTTAGAAGCAAAAAGCAGAAGACAGAAAAAAGTGGAATACTGGCTTTATGTTTCTAACAAGAGAAAGTTCTGAGTTTCCACATGGTTTAAGTTGATAAAAAATGTTACTATAAAGATCAACTTGTTTAAGTTTTACACAAGGTTCACATTAGATCTCCTCCCTAGCACGAAAACCTCTTTAATTTATAAAGATAATTTTCTGTCAGTTTTTGTGCAAAAAAATCTAGTTTTGTTTACATATATAAGAAATTGTTCCTTAGCACAAAGACAGAGACCAAATTTATTTTTGGTGGAAGCCATTGATGTTAATAGAGTTATACCAAGGTTAAATTTGGTCCTGTCAGTCATCCCCATTTAAGACTATTTCCTGCCAGTCCCCACTTTAAAGCATACCTGGTCTTCCTGGGATGAGGGCATGATGTGCTGCATAGATTGGGAGAGTGCCCATCTCCTGTTTCCTTTGCCTTTAGGAATTCTGAACTTTTTCCCAAGCTTTGCCTTTGGCAGTTTCACCCTTTCCAAAGCCAGTGAGCCTATGAGATTTCCCCTTTGGAGAATTCCATCAGTGAATCTGGATCCACACAGAAGTTTCCCTGGAGGAAGGCAGCCGCACACAGCAGGACTCAGATCAGAGATGAAATTTCTTCTAGGATTCCTTCTCTTTCTCCCATTTGCAGAATCCTCCCCCAAAGCCTGGAGAGAGGCTAGGATGTTGGCTTTCCTCATCTCTGCATCTAATAGCATCTTGCTGCTAGAAATAACAATAAAAAACCCCCACAAATGCACACCAATAGCCTACTGAAAAATTAAAAGTTTAGGTGCTACAACAACCACTGCATTTTTGCATGAGAAGGGGTGGGAGTGGGGGAACACAAATATAAGCAAGAACGCATGCAAAGTCTCCTGCACTAAGGAAATTAAGACAATAAATTTTCCTTCTCCAACAGTACATAAAAAATAGTGCTAAAGATAATAGCAAAAGAGAGACTGAGGCTCATAAATAAAAACTGCTATCACGTTTCTAAATCCTAAATCCTAAATGTGGAAGGTCCAAGCTGAAGTAAGTTTGTTCATAAATTTTGCAAAACTGTCAAATGTAGCTAATAAGATCCTGCCAAACTGATCTACTGGGAGAGATGTGGAAGGAGAGCTAGAAGTAAAGCAAGTCTCTTTCAGTTAACTAATGCATGTTCCATTGCTCTGTTAACTCATACAGACAATAGACACAGATGGTCTTAAAAAGCTCTGATTTACATTGTCCAATAAGGAGGAGAGAAAGGCGGATCTTTAGAAGTTTTGTTTCTGATGCTTTGAAAGTTACAGCTCAGTATCCAGGGAAATGCAGTTGATGGGGATGTGATATGTGGATCTTCTGGGGAGAACTACCTCCCTTGCAGGAAAGTACAGCACTGTGCATTTGTAAATAGAACTTTGAAGACCTATGTCCATCACGTGCATTGATTATGACAAAACACACAATTTGATTCATTCATGTCCACAGAGACTTCCTTCCAAAATTGAATATTCATACCATTGCAGCCTCTGCACACTCCATCTCTGGGGTTGAGGGGACCCGGTGTGTGGACACCGCTTACTTAGTCGCCGGTCAGTTGGCAGGCTCTTTTAGTCTGTAAATAACAACCCTCAGTCTGGAGTAGTATATCCTAATGGCTAAAGTCAATAAGGTCAATCCTCATCTCAGGGCTATCCAGCCCAACATCCAGAGTCAATAGAATTAACCCTTAACTCAGGGCAGTAAAGGCCGACAGCCAGAGACAATGAAGTTAGCCCTTATCTCAAAGAAGTCCAGCCTAACAGCTAGAATCAATGATGGGGGAACCCTTAGCTCAGGGCAACACAGCCTATCAGCCAGAGTCAATGAAGGGGAATGGCCTTTTGTTCAGGGCAGCGTGGCCTACTAGCCAGAGTCAATAGGGAGTGGCCCTTTAACACAGGGCAACATGGTCAGAGTCAATTATGGGGAAGCCCTCAGCTCAGGGCAAAGTCAATAAAGGGGAATGGCCTTTTAACTCAGGGTAAGCACAGCCTTGTGGCCAAAGTCATTATGGAGTAGCCCTTTAACTCAGTGCAGAGTTAATAAATTGGGGGGGAGGGCAACTGCCCCAGTAGGGGGACCTAGGCATATCCTATTCCACTAGGTCCCAACCCAGTGTCCCGTGAGTGGCAGAGCATTCTGTCACTCGCTCAGCAGGGAGTCCGAACAAAACACACCAAGTTCACCTGAATGGGAGATACCATTCCGCTACCGTCCATGGGTCACTTCCTTCCAATGCTGGTGCAGGTCCATTAAAAGAAGTCTCTGGATCCTCCGCAGCCGGCTCTCCCTGGGGCTCCTGCGGTGCTGGTAGTTTGCGGCGGTCTCCGGGGTCCCACCATCTGAGTCTCTGGCCAGTGCGGTTCTGGAGCTCCTGGTGAAGGTTCTTGTCCTTCGCTGGCCAGCCCAGACTGAGCTGTGTTACTGCCTTTTATGCTGTCCCAGCGTTTGGAGCATGCCCAGTCAGAGTGAAGGGGCAAGACTTCCTCTGCCCACAGAAAACTGCACTTGATTCAATACAGTGTATGCACACTGTCACACATTCATAATCACATACACACATCTACCCATCCCTAAATACAGGTAGTCCCTGACTTACGCAGATCCGACTTATGTCGGATCCGTAGTTACAAACGGGGCTTTTCTCGCCTCGGAGGACGCAGGCGGCGGGACTGCCCAGATGTGCCGCAGTCCCGCCGCCCGCATCCTCCGGGGCGAGAAAAGCTGCTCCCCCTCTCCCCCGTCTGCTG